TTCTCCCCCCCCCCCCCGCCCCAATCAAGGCAGTTCATATTCTCTTTACATTTATATAGGCACATTCATACAAACATACTTGAAAAGGGTTACGTGAGTGCTGGGTTACAGCTTCTTTTTATTGCATGGATACCTCTCAGTCCAGTCCCATGGACAGCAGTCGCTACATGATTATTGCCCTATACCAGTGATTCTCAACATTCCTAATGTTGTGAACCCTTAATATAGTTCCTCGTGTTGTGGTGACCCCCAACCATAACTGTCATTTTGTTACAGTTATGAATCTTAATGTAAATATCTGATATGCAGGATGGATTTTCATTCAATGGACCAAATTTGGCACAAATTCCCAATATGCCCAAACTTGAATACTGGTGGGGTTGGGGGGGCATTGATTTTGTCATTTGGGAATTGTAGTTGCTGGGATTTATAGTTCACCTACAATCAAAAAGCATTCTAAACTCCATGAGTAATGAACCAAACTTGGCACACAGAACTCCCATGACCAAAAGAAAATACTGGAAGGGTTTGATGGGCATTGATCTTGATTTTGGAGTTGTAGTTTACTTACATCCAGAGAGCACTGTGAACTCAAACAAAGATGGATCTGGACCAAACTTGGCAAAAATACTCAATATGCCCAAATGTGAACACTGATGGAGTTTGGTGAAAAAAGACCTTGTTATTTTGGAGTTATAATTGCTGAGATTTCTGGTTCACCTACAATCAAAGAGCATCCTGAACCCCACCAACAATAGAAGTGGCCAAACTTCCCATGCAGATCCCCTATGACCAACAGAAAATACTGTGTTTTCTGATGGTCTTTGGTGACCCCTTTGATACCCCCCTCCCTTGCTATTCCTCTAGGAGTCCTAACACCCAGGTTGCGAAATGCTGCCCTATACCTTTGCCCTGTGTAATGTACAGGTGCAAATCATGTGGCAATGCACAGATATTTTGCTAGATTGCAAACCAGAGCAACCCTAGACCTTATAGGGTGAGGAATGATGGGCACCATTAATTCTTTACATTTAGATACAAATGTTGAACATGTTCTTAGCTATGCATGTTGAATACCATTTGGGTACAAAGAACAAAGGCTCTCAAGGATGGCAGAGTCACACTGAAATGAGTGCTTTTCCTAAAAAATGCTTATGCTATCCATAACTATGCCATATGGTAAGTCAGAGTTACTTTGGCTCGGATGAATAGTTGATTTCTAATAAAAAGACTGTTTTGATGGTTTAGATATTCCTGCTTACATTTTCTTTTTAATGGATTTTCCCTTCAAATTTCTGTTTTATATGTATTTTGCCTTGTGAATAGTTTAAGAATAGGCAATTTCTCCAGCCACCTGAGATTACCTGTTTCTATTTCTCTTCCCCATTTCTCAGTTAGTTAGTGTGAGACAACCACCATCATTTAATTCAATATTGAGGAGAAATTGCTCAAAATGAACATGACTAACCTTCAACTGAGAAAGTGGTTTCTATTTTATTCAAGGCTTCTGCCAGCATTCTGAGTGGGAATGACCATAGCAAATTTTTAGTTTTATGTAATTCAACTCCATTTTCCTATAACATTTTGATCAGAGCATTAAAAAGTTATTTTACTAGTGATTAATTATAATTATAGTTAGTGTTATATTTTTAAAATATGCTACAAGCAACTTATTGCAGTTGGGAAAAAACCCCTCTGTTCTCCCATTCACACCATCAGTGTCTCAAGATCCACAACAGAATATGAGGGAGTACTTGTACCTCATGATATTCCTTCATTACAATTTACTGTCCATACCTCCAGCTGAAAAGCACTTCAGAAAGAAATTATTTCTCATTGACTTACAACAACAAGGTTATTTTGTTATGCCTTTGTTATTGGAGAAAGAAACTGAATATTGGGACTGGTAGGAATTGGCCTAGGTGGTCCTTGAGGTCCCCTCCAACTCCGCAATTCTATGAATACAATCAACTAGTTATTTGCAAGTAGCAACTTCCAAGCTGTTTGCAATGTTATGCTGTAATGCTCTATCCTCTTGTGCATTGAAATGTGGCAAAGCAAGTGGAATGAGAGCTCAGAAGTCATTAGCATCAGTTCCTTCAATAGCTGGCTGGCTGCCTTGTTGAAGAGCAGATTTTTCTTTTCCCAGTTTGAACCAGCTATTTCACAATATCAGCCCTCTACCAGGTAGGGATTCTGCTCATACACAGCTGTAAATGAATACAAAGGAAGCCCAAGGAGACTTTTTTCCTGCATGACTAATTTTCCCTGGCAACTTTCAGCTGCTTGAATTTGTGGTATGAAATATGTCCCATCCCATAGTATTATATGTCTCCATGGCTTAGGGCAAAATGGATATATGGTATTTGAAAATGAGAGTTTCAAATTTTTGTGTTTTAACTTTTAATGCTGCTGTTATAGGCCTTGCAATAGAAATGAGGCTTCTGTGCACAATTGAAACACATCTAGGCTTAGCACTGAAACTGTAATGCTGGGCTAATGAGCATCGGAAACATCGTGTGAAAATATTTAGATATTCAGTCTGAAGATATTCAGGGACAGCCTTGTTGTCCATGTCACACTATACAAAAAAAAAATCAACAATCCACACAAGAGTGATGCTTTTAAAAATCATACAGTAGGTGAAAAGAGAGGAGAAAGAGTCACAGGTCACCCTTTGATAACAGGTACTTTTTCTGCTGAAGTTCAGACCACTTCAGAACTACTGAACTACAACAGAAACGATGTCTGCTACAAAAGGTAGGCCTGTGAGTACCATTCTCGCTTTCCTTCTCGTAGAGTGTTGTTTAAATATATTTTGCCTGATGAAGAAGTTAGTGGAGCTTCAATAGCTGCATGATGTATTTTCCGCATATCTGTTAGCCATGAAATATATTACTCTTTTGTGGATATTATTGCATAATGTGAAGGTAAATCCATTTTTATATATATCTTTAGAGGAAATGTCTGACATCCTCATGGATGCTAAATGGCAGCTAACACCTTATTCAAATATATGGTGTGCTATTTCATTGTTTTTACTGACTTGCCTTCAAAGTTTGCTCCAAGTCTATGGAGGCTCCTTTCAATAATGTTAGGAGGTCTATATCAGTGGTTTTCAACCTGTGGGTCCCCAGGTGTTTTGGCCTACAACTCCCAGAAATCCCAGTCAGTTTACCATCTATTAGGATTTCTGGGAGTTGAAGGCCAAAACATCTGGGGACCCACAGGATGAGAAGCACTGGTCTATTATATCAGTTGGGGACCACTGAACTAAATCCTTCCACTTGGATTCCCTATGTTCCAGCTAGCCATCTAGTATAATAACGCAAATTTCGATGAATAATTGTTTATTGATATTTTTGTCCTGCTGATTCCCAAAATATCATCACTTTTCCCCATCAGCTCTCACTTTTGAGATACAGAGCATATACCATATACCACACTTCATCTCCTTGTCCAAAAGAAACAAAAGCAAAAAACCCACCTGATAACCATATCTAAGAAACGAGAGCTGATGCTCTATCCAATGCAATTTTCTGAATCAGAGCCCCAAATAACTCATGCAACAGACTTAAAAACCAAGACTCCAATAATTATGATTTCTATTATTTTGGCTGGGCTGTGTGATCAAGGTGCTCTCCTATGATTAAGTTGTCATTTTGATCTTTATGTGCCTTCAGGCGGTAGGAGTTATTTTACATAAAATTCAACATCCATCTAAACCAGTGGTTTCAAACCTTTTTTTTGACCAGGGACCACTTTGATCAAGAATCACTCTCCAATGTAAGTACCAAAAGGGTTACAAATCAGTTTTTGGTCAACTTTAGATTCGGTTTAGTTATTTGAGGTGCTGATTCAGAAAATTGCATTGGATAGATCACATCAGCTCTAGTTTCTAATACAGAACAAATGCCACCCAGTAGTCGCCATCTGCTCACCCACAGAAAACCATATTTTATAATCTAGAGCTGATGTGGTAGTAGTAATCTTTCATGGTTAGTCAGTCTCTCCCCTCCTGACATCCCCGTTGACTCAGCACTATAAGAGGCTTTTGCAAGACCAGTCGCTCTTGTTGTCATGTGGTTTCCAGGCAATGATGCAGTAATGGTGAGGCCATTGACCATATTTCACTCTTGTGGACCACTGGTGGTCCAAGGACCACAGGTTGGGGACCACTAATCTAAACCAACAGCTGGAATTGGGTAGCTGAGCTTTCTGATCCTCTGCTATAGCTTTAAAGTTCTCAGTCACCCTTTTATCTTGCTCTGATTATTGTGCGGCCTAATTTATTCTCAACAGAGTATATTATAGTTTCTTAATATATTCTTGAAATCTACTTGTTGGCTTTTAACAGCATTAAAAAGACCATTCCACATTTATTCCAGTTTCCCCTTTTTCATTTTTGGAGTCACTGGGCTGGGTGGGAGCTAACATGGTAGAGAATTAGCTGGATGGAGAGCAGGAGGGACATATTCCTGAGGGAAATATTACTAGGAGGAGAAGGACAAACTGTCAGAAAACAGAAAGCTACACTCTTGCCCAGATAAACCCAATTCAGAAGCCAGGGACAATTCCACCACTAGGCAGACTGGAACAAGTTGGAGGTATAGGTGAGAATTCAGTTCAGTTCATTTTTATTAGAATTCCACATCTGTCTTTTTCATATTTAGACTTTTTAAACTGAGAAAAATCTTAAAACTGATAATTGTCCACCAATTCCTAGGTTTTGGAACATGAAATCTTAGCAGTTTGGGCTTGAAGTCCTGCGCCTTTCACTATGAATGAGGCTTTTCATCTTTCTCTCTGTTTTTTGGGTGAGAAGTTCTTCATTTTCAACCTTAAATTGACTGGCACTGTGGTCTAAAGCTAAAACATTTCTCACTAGCAATTGACCATTCCTAGCAGGATGTCTATGACTTGAGACAAAATGTTCAAGTTGAGAAAAAATTGCAAGTATTTTTACATTGGTAGTAAAGAGAACTGTCCAAATTACTTACTTCCTCTGTTGTGCTGATGATCGCCTAGTACAAATCACAGCCACAATTACCACTACAACCACAGTCACAACTCCAACAGTGACAACGATGATAACAAGAAGATTGCTGTTCTTCTGGGGTGTTACACTTCCATGCGGAGGATGCATTTGCCCAATGGGAGGTTCTGAAACAACATAAATAGTTATTGAAATGACATAAATGGCTATTAAAATGCTGCAAATAGCTATTACGTAATACTGGCATTCCCCAAGCAAGAACTTTTAGGTCCTTTGGCAATGACTCATGAAGTCTAATTTTATCATTCTTAGTGATTAAAATATTAGCCGAGTTCAATATTCACTTCATTATAAAGAACGGCATGAATAATCTTATAGCTGGAATCATTGGAGACTGTTTCATATGCACATCTCTGAGGTGAAGTTGTTTTTCTTTACCTGGTTTGGTCTTCTGAAAACATTCTCTGAAATAACATTCAAGTTACCAGTACTTTCTGTGATTTAGGAACTCTAATCTTACCATCTGGAGTGATGGCAATATTACATTGTCCAACACACATTTTGATGCCTCAAATGTTAACTCTGTTTCTGAATGATTCCAAAAACGATGATTCCAGAAATGGCACCCATTTTACTTCCAGAGCATGTAAAGCATATAATCACTTGGGGAGCCTAGCAAATTCCTGAGAAGAAAATTTTTTTCCCTGGGGACAATGAACTTTTCTATCCGAACGTATCTCTCCTTATGAACCTTCTAGGACATTATGATCTTCTGGGGAGGCCCTGCCCTTGGTCCCGCCTTTCTTGCAGATGCGTTTGGTGGGAACAAGAGACAGGGCCTTCTCAGTGGTGGCCCCCCGACTGTGGAATGCCCTGCCTAGGGATGTAGGATCGACCCCCTCCCTCCTGACTTTTCAAAGAAAGGTGAAAACCTGGCTTTTTAAGCAGGCCTTCCCAAATACAGCATAGTTATACGAAATCATGGAACCACTTGACAACGCAATTGAATAATGATTTGACATGGAGACGCTCATGATAATGTTTTTAAGGCTTTGTATGGTTTTTATGTTTTTATATTGTATGCTAATGTTTTTAATAGTATTTTAGGATAGTTTTATTTGTTATAATTATTGAGGCATCAAATTGCTGCCAATTGTGAACCACTCTGAGCTGCCTCTGGGGTGAGAGAGATGGTATATAAATGTGGTAAATAAATAAATAAATAAATAAATAAATATCAGCATACCTAACTGGTATTCCAGTGAGCATCATTCTTGGAGTGCAACAATCACTTTATCAGCTCTTCTATGTAGTACAACTACAACTACAACTACAACTACTAATAAAGTGTACTACTACTACACTTTATTTGTATTCTGCCCCATCTCCCCGTGGGGACTTGGGGCAGCTGTAACATCATGGCAGCCCCTTGGATATTGGAAAATCACTCAATTATATTATCCACAGATGCAGATCCTCTTACATAAAGATTCCTACTGAATTTAAGCTGTGCAGGTACGGCTGTACCAGAGCTCAAACTTCTTTTCCTTTCTATTGAGTGTTTGCACATATTGCAAAGTTCCATGCATTTTGCAATAAGGTGGCTTCCCTTGGTTTGCAATCATAGGGCCAATGACTCATCAATTATCATTATATTCTTTAGTTCTGCCCCTTTCTCCAGGGTTCAGGAAGGAAAGGGAGCCATTTTAGCTCAGCCTTATAGTTGAAAGCTTAGCTACAGGACGTGAATTATCTCCACCTGTAGAGAAGCTTCGTTTCTTACGAAATTCTGGGGGGGAAATTATTATTATTATTATTATTATTATTATTATTATTATTATCTTTATTTGTACCCCGCTAACATCTCCTGAAGAACTCGATGCGGCTTACAAAGGCCAAGGCCTCAATAAAAACAACAGCATAACAATACACACAACATTTCAAGTAAATCAAAACATCAAGCAATAACAGTAAACAATAAGACAATACACCGTAACACGATAAAACTAGGGCCGGGCCAAATGTAATGGGTACAGATTAAAAAGTGCTAAGTATGACAGATGAAAAGTAGGGTAAGTGCAATGTGCAGACAATCTTAAATCTCTACTAAAGTGCTTCTGGGACATATTTCTGGAGTTTCCTATTCTGGAAAGGCACACCGGAACAGCCAGGTCTTCAAACTTTTCCTAAAGACTGCCAATGTAGGGGCTTACCTGATGTCTTTGGGGAGGGTGTTGCAAAGTCGGGGGGCCCTGTCCCTCGTCCCCACCAGACACGCCTGCGATGCAGGTGGGATCGCGAGCAAGGCCTCTCCATATGAACGAAGAGAACGCGTGGGTTCATAGACGGAGATGCGGTCACACAGGTATGCAGGTCCCAAACAGTTTAGGGCTTTGTAGGTGAGCACCTGCACCTTGAATTGGGATCAGAAAATGAACGGCAGCCAGCAGAACTCCTTGAACAGGAGGGTTGACCTCTCTCTGTAAGGAGCACCAGTTAACATCCTGGCCACCGCCCGTTGGACTAACTGAAATTTCCGAGCCATTTTCAAGGGCAGCCTCACATAGTCCAATCTAGAGGTGACCAAGGCATGGACCACCCTGGCCAGATCAGCCTTTACGAGGTACGGTCGCAGTTGGCGCACGAGTCTCAATTGTGCAAAAGCCCTCAATTGTGCAAAAACAGTTCCAAAGGACTCCAGCTGGAGAATCTACAAAGCCTTGACTGGTAGGTCTACTTGGGACCCAAGAAGCAGTTTGGAGCCGCGAGTAGAGCCCACACCAGCAACGTTTAGAAAGTAGATTGCCCAAGGAGGGGTTAAAAAGGGTTTTCCTTTTAAAGAAAAGAAACGGTTCATGAAGCTAGTTGCCTGTCCCTTGTGGACAAGATTAAGAAAGCCACCAGTTGATTCAAAGCCTTGAAGTATTTATTTGACCTGTTGAAGATCTGAGAAGTATTTGATTGTTTTGTTGAAGACCTAAGCAATAATAAAGGATTTTGTTAAACTTTTCAAGCTTCTAAAGACTCTGTATAGGAAAATCCTTAGGGCCTCTCACTCGAGGCACTCCAGCTTCCCGCTGGGCACAAAAAGCACATCCTGTTCAAAAGCCAATTGCTATAGGCCAGCGCGTGACAGCACATAAGCCAATATTCCTTGGAGGTCTTCAGACAGATTACAGATGGCCATCTTTTAGTTGTGTCCTACATTACAGAAGATTGTACCAGAATGCCCTTGTGGTTCTGTCTAAACCTTAGATTCTATCATTTTATCCCCCTTATTGCACCATCATTACTACTCTAATAAGGTCTTAGGCTTCAAGCTTGGAATTACAAAGAACAGAAGATTATTAAATATATATATTTAAAATAATTTAAAATATTGTTCTTATTTATTTATATTTTATGTTAATATTGTATGATATATCATTATGTTTCACTGCTTATGGAACATAAAACATGTGCTGTTGTTTTGAGCTTATAACCTTAGGTAAATTCCCCTTCTGGCCAGTGGATGTCAAACAGATGTTCAACTGGGCTGCAGCAGATGCAGCAGGATAATGCTGGTAAGATGGAGCCACCTTGTTTGGTCTCCATCTCCCTTCCCCAATGTATTTTCAACACATGAAGGAGATTACTCAAAACTCCTTACTATGCATGATCACTGCTTTAAGCAAAGCGTGATTGGTGATAGGAGAGGTTTCAAAAACAAGGGGAAAACCTCTGAAAGTGCGTCAAAGTTATTTATGTTGTAGCAACACGTCTCTGTCATTAGCAAAGAAAGGTCACCATTTATGAGAAATATCTGGGTGACTTGATGTGACGAAGTGAAACTGCATGATGTTCAAATGACACAGATTGACTCCCCCACCCCACCCCCCTTTACATAAAAGAACCTGACTATAAAAGCAGATACAATTTAATGCCTGCCAAGATATATGAATTCTACTCTGAAGGACAGGCCTGAATTCAGAATGGTGCCATAAAACATGGTAAATTTATGCTTTGAGAAATCACAGCAACACAGAAAACAGGAACCTGCTGGACTGTGAGACCCTTGGCATCTCCCATTAGCGTAAACCTAAGGGCCACGCAAGAAGAATATCAGAGCAAGGGAGAAAGCAACTGGCTTCCAACAATAAACCAGTGAAGGTGTTGTAATTATATTATTCCTCCCTCCCTCCTTTTCTCTTTTTTTCATTTCCCATGTCTCTTAGTGCTGTTTGTGAACTTAGGATTTATCTTAACATTTAATACCTGCATAGCACGGAAATTACTTTTGGGCTAAACGATAATTTTTAAAAGGTTAACTAAGGAAACACCACTGCTGCCAATTATAATCATAATCATCCAACAACAAACAAGCAAATATCATAGCTCATTTTGTTGTTAAGATTGGCTAATATACAAGTAAGATACTTCTCATTTACTGGATATTAAATGGGGAGACATTTGAGTCAAATAAAATAGAAGGACCATTAGCCCCTCATATTTGTGACTTTGACTTTTGCAGATTTGATTATAGATATGATTAAAATGTTCTCTTTAGGAATTTCTAGGTTCTCCCATGTGATTGTATGCTTAGCTTCCAGCAGAAGTTGACCATGGAGTCATGCTGGAAGACCTAACATTTCCAAGAAAAGTGTTGCTTCAGGTCTTTAAAAGTGTGTGTGTGTGTGTGTGTGTGTAGTGTAGTGTGTGTGTGTGTGTATACATCCCATAATTTAAAAATCACTCTGTTTACTCACAGTTTTTTTTCTTTTATGGGGTCCTGTGTCTCCAAACCCAGTCAATGTGAAGGGCTGACTGCGGTTCTTCACATGGCATATAGTTAAACGATTGAATTCACTGCTATTATTGGGTGCCAACTTGGATGTTTTTAAAGGTGAGTAGTACGAATTCATGGAGAATAGGGAATCAATGGCTACTTCTCATGAAGGGCATATACAGTATATTCTGGCGTATAAGACTACTTTTTAACCCAAGAAAATCTTCTCAAAAGTCAGGGGTCGTCTTATACGCGGGTGTAGTCTTATGCATGGGAGTTGTCTTTACTCTATATTTTAACTGGAAAAGTTGGGGGTCGTCTTATACGCCCAGTCGTCTTATATGCCGGAATATACGGTATATCATTCTGTCATCAGAGAAAACATGCCTCTCATTACCTGTT